GAACGTTGATTCTTTCGATTCCTTTTTTTTTTTTTTTTTTATAATTGTTATTCAACGGATTCTAGCATTCCATCTCATGGTAAATCAAGAGAACACTCGACTGTCGGTAAAATGATTTCACGTTGGAGCCAGACGTTAGAATACATTGCTGCGTGCTGTTTTTCGTTTTTCTTTTCTTTTCGACAAATCCCGATACAAAAGAAGTGTCTAAGTTTCCGTTAGTTCCCGCGCTTTCATAACTGAATCTCGGATGACGACGAATCCGTAACGGATATCACCGATCGGTACGTATTGCCGCCGCGTGACACGAGAGTACAAATGCATACACTGTATCGAGAAGCAAGAGAGGCACGCACGCAGACACACGTTTCCGGCAGTTTCCGGATTCGCGAAGTAATTTCTGTCGGCTTCCGCGCCTTCTGTCGTCGGCGCGCCACACGTATATACTGTGCCGCAGGTACGGAGTATTGCGGGGTACGCAGGTAGGATCGTTCGGTCGGGTCCTTTCTTGACCGAGTCCATCTGTTTCCGTCTTTCCATCTTCCTTTCTCTCTCTTGCCTGCGATCATCTCGGTGCACGAAGTTTTATGCGGTCGCGGAAGTTAAAACGTTCGACCGAAGAACGTTGATCGCGAGAACCTAAAACTCGAGGATTCCAAGTAACCTCGGCCGCTTCGTGAGATTCTGCCATCTGCTGAAACCGCTGCCAATTCCACGACGGTTATCTATTTTCGGAGGATTGTGTCCAGCCAGCCAACCTAACGAATCCCAACGGAGGACTCCCAGCCAGTTTGGTATGGCCGGATATTTTCGAGGATTGCGTCGCGTGACGTCGATCGCAGGCTGATACGTGTCATCACAGCTTATCGTGCGAACGATTCGCGATTAAACGAAATTGTTCACTTGTCATGCGCGACCTCTCCTCTCTCGCTCTCTCTCTCTCTCTCTCTCTCTCTCTCTCTCTCTCTCTCTCTCTCTCTCTCTCTCTCTCTCCTTTCTCTCTCGAGTGTACCATCCTTAACGTTGTATTCTGTTTTAGGAGTCCGAATGCAGGGAGCTAATCTATTAGTGAGAATCAACCAAAACTCTTGTATTGTCATAGGAAAGATTCTTGTTCACATTTGAGCAAGAGTTTGAACCAGTAAGACGTATTCAGTTACGAAAGTGTGACCGAGAGGGATCTTAATTCCTACTGCAAGGATGTCTGGAAACAATGATAGCTTTAACAATAATACCTGTGTGGTATGCTACAAGAATGTCGACATCTATAGCATTGGCATGTGCGAGCATCCTGTATGTTACGAATGTAGCACTCGGATGAGAGTGCTCTGCCTTCAGAACGAGTGTCCCATCTGCCGCCAGGATCTGCCAAAAGTTGTGTTCACGCGAGAAATCAAACCCTTCCACAACTTGACCAATACCAACCTGCTAGACACCCGATATGACATCTACTTTAGTAGTCTCGATATTCAAGAAAAATTCACTGAATTGTTAGCCAACACCTGTTCGATATGCAAGGAGAAGATGGTCTTTAGCAGTTTCAATAGCTTGAAAGATCATATGCGACAACAACACGAGTTACATTATTGTGATCTATGTGTGGAAAATTTGAAGGTGAGAATTTGAACATACTTTTAACTCATAATTGTGAAATATATAGTCCTGGTGATCTTGAGACGTTTTTTCTTCCTCTATTAATTTTTTCCTATTTTAAATAAATTAATGATTTGAAGCAATTTTATGTTTTACAATCTCATTTTTCATAATTTTGTTCTCTTCATATAAGATAATTCTATATAATTATACATAATTATACATAATTATATTTATGGCATTTATATGCTAACAATAAGTTCAAGTATTGTTATTTTTTTGTATAGTCACAACTTTAAAACTAATAACAAAAAATGTTAATCCCAAGGGCACATATTGCTTTAGTGTTATAAAAAATATGTGTTTCTGTTACGGGTTAATCAATATATGATAAATAAACAATCGGAATGTGTTTCTTTATTAATTCACCATTTCTTTATTAATTCATCATTTGCTTCTTAACAGATATTTTCGAATGAAAGACGTTGTTATACAAGATCAAGTTTAGCCACGCATCGAAGGAAAGGTGATATTGATGATAGAAGTCACAAGGGTCATCCACTCTGCGAATTTTGCGATCAGCGATACATGGACAACGACGAGCTATACCGACATCTGAGACGCGATCACTTATATTGTCATTTCTGTGACGCGGACGGTCTGCATCAGTATTACAGCTCCTACGATTATCTCAGAGACCATTTCCGACAGGAACATTACCTATGCGAGGAGGGGGTGTGCGCGGAGGAAAAGTTCACGAGTGTTTTTCGGACCGACATAGATCTCAAGGCGCACAAAGCCAGCGTTCATGGCAAGCAGTTGAGTAAAGCTGCCGCGAAGCAGGCGAGAACATTAGAACTGGAATTTACCTTGGCGCCTCGTGGTGAAAATCGGATGAACAGAAGGGGTATGCTGGGCGCGTCTACGTCGAGAAACACGAGGGATTACAACGGCAGGGATTATGGTTCCAGAGATTACCAGCAAGGCGCGATATCCAACAGTTCCAATTCATTCATGTCTAACAATGAGCCTATCTTCACGAAACAACCATCCGTTGATGTGCAAAGCACAGATGAATTTCCTACATTAGGTGGTAGTGCCATTCCTGTCGTTCCCACCTTATCTCAACCCAAAAGTAGAGGGAACGTGACTATTCGTAGCACTGTGAGGAATCAACCTCTCGCGGTAACGGACGAGAACTTTCCGGCATTGGGTCCAGATTCGGCCGGTCCCAGTATCTCGAAGACGGTAAACTTTAGCGTTTCCAGCAGTAGCAATGCTACGGGATCCAATGGCTTGCCACAATGTCAGAAAGGCTCCGCGTCTTCGAACGTCTCTATTCAGGTGAACCATGAACCCAATGGCACTGTCACTACCAGAGTATCCGGACCTAACATCAGAATACGTCCCACACAATTATCAATAGATTCTGATTTTCCTGCCTTGAGAAATTCGGAACCGTCTACTAGTACTGCCAATTCGATTCAGTGGAAGGAAGTCTTGCAATGGACCTGCTCAAAATCAGCATCAGCAAACACGCCCAAGTCCAAGGTGGCGCCGCCACCCTCGATACCATCAGCACCGCCCATTCGATCGGGCGAAGACTTTCCAAGTCTGTCCAAGTCGTTAAAGTCGAAAAAACAATCGATGATCACAGTAGTACCATCGTGGAGACAGAACTCTCAGAATATCAGCAACGTCCAAACTTCCAATAGCAACAACACAAAGACAACGACGGATCAAACGAAGAGTAAGACGAAGAAGAAAAAAGCGAAGCAGGCTTCGAGTGGTAACAGTTCGAGTGGTAACGAGTCTGGCAGCTCCAAATCAAATATAAATACTGTTGTGACAAAGAAGGACATCGAATTGGCGCGTACTGGTGACTCGGATAACTCTCGCGTTGCTTCTAAAGAGAGTTCGCGAGTCACGCAGGATACCAATGCGAGTAGCGATAATAGCAAGAATTCAAGCGTGCAGAACTCGAAGGAACTGGAACACGCGAATAAAAAGGATAAAAGAAAAAACAAAAATAATGTTGATGGAAATTCAAGCGTAACGACTGTTATAAATACGGAATCTGAAAGTGGAGGCAACGGTTCTTCGAACGGAGAGAAGCAAAGGAAACGTAGCGAGTTGAAGATAGACAGCTTGAACACCGCCAACAACAATATCCATCGGACAGAAGATTTTCCTGCTTTAGGTAGCACTAGCAGTAGACCACCAGGCTTCACGAATCCGCCACCTGGTTTTTCTTCGCCGACTCTACCACCACCCGGTTTTTCCATAAAATACAGTCTTGACGGATTGCATGGTAGTAATGGCTTGACGTTCACAAACAGTTCCGGTGAAAGCTACTCTATTCTGCCAGATAACAGCAGCAAGCATATGACTCATGTCTACGTGTCACCACCCGATTTTCAGAAACGGAACACGTGTCTGGTGGCAAAGCTTAATGCAGTTCTCGTGGACCAGAACAAAATCGAAGAGTTTCGTTATGTAAGCGGCCTCTTTCGCGGTGGTACCTGTGACGCCCAGGAGTATTATACGCACTGTTGCGAAGTCATGGGCGCTAGCGCCTTCGAGAGCATATTTCCAGAGCTTCTGGTACTGTTGCCAGATATCGCAAAGCAACAGGAACTGTTCAAAATGCACAAGAGAGAAACAGGCGGGAAGGCGAAGGGACTAGAGATGTGCGCCACATGCGGTCAGATTCTTAAGAACGGCTCGGACTTTAGAATGCATATGTCCAGTCATACGCTTGAGAATCACTTCCCGGCGTTGGGTAAAAGCAATACGCCGCCGCCGAAGAACACGTGGGTACGTAAATGAGTCAATTACGCTCTCTCATCGATCGTCATGCTCTTGTTTTGGAGGATCCGAGAAAGCTGAATATCCGCTCGCCCAACTACTGAAAACAGTTGTAAATATAACGCTCTTGTTTTTATACCATCGTACTCCAAGATTTAAACCTATTGCGTTGCGTTTATCCGATACGTAATACAAGCGTAATACGTAATATTTATTCCAAGAGTCAATCAATCCTTAGTGTTAAAAGCAAAATGTGCATAGAACTAGCGCTGACTATTCGCAATAGACTTGATATCTGTGAATTGCGAAGCAATATTGATTAAAATTAAAAGAAAAAGAATATTATGTATCTTAGAGCTTTTACAGACGGTTGTATTAATGATGTAATGCTTCGAGACAGTGATAAACAGGAGATCACATATTTTTTTGTATAATAAACTATGAAAAGTATGTAGGATACTGAAAAAGTCTGTTAAAGTTATAAAGAATAAACATATGCGTATATTATATATATACATATATATATATATATACATATATATATATATATATATATATATATTATATATTATATATATATACATAGTGACGTCGCGCACTAACGTTTCAACGATTATCTACTTTTACTGTATTTTAAGACCATGTACATAAATTTCGTAAATAGAAGCGCGTTCTTTCTTATAATTTATTTCCTATATTTCTCGTAATAAAGATGAAATAGATTGCTGTGCTATATACGAAAAAATAACACCATACTTTAACAAATCATTTGATACGTTATACAATATATTATACAGTAGATACTTGTAGCACTACTGTACTGTTTTGTACCGTAACAAAAGTTGTACATTTAGTTAACATGACAATACATGATTTTGATGAGCGAGTAAACGGGTACTGTTTCCTCGCCTGGCTCCTTTCATTTTCTTTATTTTTTTTATGCGCGTTGGATATTAATGGAAACGAACGCAATAAACATATTTTGACTTTTCATAAGGTAGAAAAATTGGTTGACATTTATATACTTTCTACATGTTTAAGATTTATTATGACGATTTCTAAACATTTCTTACAATTTAAGTGTCTATTTTTATTAAAAAGGAAAATCGCGGTTGATAAACCTTAGTTAAGTTTTATTTCCTTTCGCAATATTAAAGTTAATTGTTCACTTATCTGTAAAGTCTTATGTAAGCTATCAATTAAGATTTATATTTCAAAAATTTACTTATTTATTAGAAAAACAAGAAAGTGTAAACGGCCTGTGTATAACATCATATAATACATACATTGTATAATTCTTCATGAATAGCACGGACGTAAACCAAAATAGAAAACAAATTAGGATATCCAACGATTTTTTTTTTCACGTGTAATAATATATGAATAAATAAATCTCTGCACAGTTAAATCGGCTGGTCGAAACGATACTTTGTCACTCGATACATCAAAAAGACAAAATTAGAATTCACTTGGCAAATATTAAGTATGTATGAAAGAACTTAGTATTATGTACAACCTTTGTATATATATTCTTATAAATGACGCAAGGACTATCTATTATATCCTGATGCTCCTGTTTCTCTTATGAAACAAGTTTCCTTCCTAGAGTACAATCCATGCGAATCAAATCGCACGTACGATGATGAAGAGTTAGATTGCGCTCATAATATTCTCGATTCGTATATTGCATCAATTTCTGTAGCAATTGTGAACGCAGCGACTGTTAAACTGTACATGATAGACGTTACATCGATACAATTTGACAAAGATGGAAATTGCCGAGTGACTCTCCGCCCGTTTTTTACGTCCATACACGATGAATGAACTGTCCTTAAAAGTACCAGATACGATGAGACGCTATCACTTTTTGGCCAGCTCGTTACTCAGCCAGTCCAGGCCCTCGTACAGTCCGTGTCCCTGCGTAGCGCAGGTGCTCTGGATGTACCAGTGACGTCCTCGCAGCGAATTAAGACCCAGCTTGTCAGTGAGCTCAGCGGCGGACATAGCATTAGGTAGATCCTGCTTGTTAGCAAATACCAGCAATACTGCGTCCCGTAGCTCATCCTCTTTCAGCATGTTCGCCAACTCACGTTCCGCCTCACTGATACGCTCGCGGTCGTTGCTATCCACTACGTAGATGAGGCCCTGGGTGTTCTGGAAATAGTGCCTCCAAAGCGGCCGGATCTTATCCTGGCCACCCACGTCCCACACGGTGAAGCAAATATTCCTGTACTCGACTGTCTCAACGTTGAAGCCGATCGTGGGTATGGTGGTAACAATCTCACCGAGTTTAAGCTTGTAGAGTATGGTGGTCTTACCGGCGGCGTCCAGACCCACCATCAGTATCCGCATCTGCTTCTTGCCAAACAATCGGGTGAGCAGGCTGCTGATTGTGAGACCCATCTTTCTGGAGCGAGAACACCGCACGGAACCTTGAAGAGGAGACAAGTGTTTTCCTACTGTCTCGTTGATTCGCAACGACGGAATGAACAATCGGGATACCAAATAGCTCCAACTGCGTAGTCTTCGTGCGCTTCGATACTAAATTTCGTCAGCCTGACTGATGTGTGCGTATGCTTTAGACTTTTCGTCTCTCGTCCCCCGATACGGCTCCGGTAGGCAACACACCTCCCGTTCGACGAACAGCAAACGTCACCTTGCGGTCAGCGGCGCCGCGTGCCGCCGGAAATAGCTGGCAAGATCCGCCACGCACGTCACGCTCCACCCGGGAGTCAAGGAACCCGTCACGACGGGGATCGTACTCTGGAGAGAGATGAGATGCCCGTGTCTTCGAGATGCTTGACGTTCGGATACGAACAGATAGCTCCGTTCCTTTCTTTCTTTCTTTCTTTCTTTTTTTTAAAGCTCGCGTCAGAGTCGCATGTCATTCATCGAGGATGAACAAAGCGTGGCCCTCTTCATAGCGAGAAGTTTGCCGCGCAACGTTGCCAGCCTTACCGCGCGCAAATTTGAAAAATGTGGATGCTCGATTTTTGTTTCGTAACTTTTCATAAACGGTATCGTGATATAATAATGATATTCAATTTTTAAGCACAACGTGAAGAACAACGTTGATTTAAGAAGATTTTATTGCAATCACAAATAAAAACTAAAAATTTACTTAAAGAATCAATTCTTTTTTATTCGTGTATATACCTTACGAAAAGTAATTTCAATCAAATTCTAAATTAACTTAATCGATAATCAATTCAGTCGGCAGAATCACTTATGATAAAATTTTTATAATCGTCTCTAATTTTTCTTTATGTATATTGAACGAAAAAAATTCTGTTATAAATAAATAATTTAATACCTCGATAATTAAATTAAAAGTCAATAATTCTACTCATATTTAAAAAATATGTATATTATTTATTTATATAAAAAAATAAATAATGTATATAATATATAATTAATAATGTATATAAAATAATGTATATATATTTTTAATATAAATATATATATGTATGTAAATAAATCATAAATACTATCGAATTTTTTCATGATTTCTTGATACAGGGCCCGTGAAACGCGCGTACGTACCTGTCAAAGTGTTTCGCGATCAGCCGGACCAGCGCTGGGCGATCAAAACGAAAATGGTGGTCGATATGGAGTTGCAGAAAGCTAAAGATGCCGTTCTTCAGCTGATGAAGGAGAAAGACAAGATTGAATCTGATCTACGAGCGCTGAAGGAGATCTTAGATTCCGTATGTATCACACTTGGTTTTACACCGTAGTAGCAAGAGTGACGTTGTCATCGGGCGGAATACCGAACTCGTCTTGCAGCATGATCTGTCAGATTTTTGAAAGCTTCGTATTACATTCTTGACGTAATTGCAGAATCATATCGGCATGGACGAGCCGCTGGTGGATTCCGAGGGATATCCCAGGCAGGATATCAACGTTTATCAAGTGAGACACACGAGACACAAAATAATATGTATGTAAATACATTTCTTGTAACATGAAGCAAAACAATACACTGTGTGTATGTGTGTGTGTGTGTGTGTTTATTTGAATAACATTGTGTTGTCATATAGGGCTTACAAATGATCACAAAGATTTGATGAGGAAGATAGAAGAGGGATTGCATAGAATTCATGCTTTAGCAGGAACAAGTCTGGCTGAACCGATATCCGATATATCTGACGATCAAGAAACAGAAGCGCTGGAGCCTTTCCTCAGGGTGAATTTAGTTTCACCTGGTTCGCCAGCAGAGACTGCGGTATGCATTATCTCTATGCTTTTGTATGGATGATTTATAAATGAATCTAATTGAATTGTTATGATTTATTATTATATCTATTTGTCAATAATTACTTCATTTTTGCTTAACAGTTGCATTAAAAGTTTATTAGATATATATATATATATCTAATAAACTTTTAATCATAACTGTAAATCTATAAGAAAACTTAATTGTAATTAATTATTCTCTATTGATAAAGAAAATAATTATAACTATGGATGCTTTCCATTTGATATAATTTAAGTTGATACAAGTGTCATTTTATTTTGGTTACTAAATGTTGAGAAAAATAAAATGATTGTATTGACTTGCATCACCGAATAGAAAGCATCCTCTAGTTGGTCAATTTGTTTACAGAATTACAATTACGACTAAAATTTTGTTACGTACAAAAACTTTTAACTGGATACAAGACATAAAAGCTATTTTTTTTTGTTTAGGGCATCCAAGTCGAGGATCTGATATTGGAATTTGGATCTGTTCGTTGCCGAAATTTCAAATCCTTAACAGACATTGGAAAGCTAGTGGAAAGCAGCAGGTACAAGACGATCAACGTAAAAATTAAACGCGGTTCGAATACTATTGTTTTATCGTTAACCCCGCGTCCTTGGGTTGGCAAAGGCCTTTTGGGTTGCAACGTGATACCTATAGAAATAGTTGAAAGATAAAATTATACCGGAGAGCAACATGGAACTATTTTTTTAGCCTGCAAACTATTTTTATGTATATCTTACTAAACAGATGTATCTCAATAAATGTATCTTTGTAAGTTATTACCCTTAATATTTGTGTCATTATATTTATTATCTTTTAATCCTAATCAAAATTTTTTATATTTATAATACAAAATCATTAAAATTTTCTTACAAATGAAAATAGAATTAGGATACATATTTATCTTATTAATGAAAACACAAGGCTTGTTCTTTTCAACTGAACTGGAATTTTTTGCACAGTTCATCTTTCTTCTTTTTCTCTTTCAGAGAAAAAAAAAAGAAGTTAAACCGTGCAAATTAATTTAAAAAGAATGGATACTAAACAAAGAGAGACAAAGTAATGTTTATCTAATCTTGTATCGTTTCAAGTATGATTTCTAAAATGTTATATGATTTTTCATTGGCTGGATGTAATTTTAAGATTTATCTAATTGTAAGATCAGACTTAAGATGATCTTAAATTGATTTTGCAATTAATCATGATTAGCTAAATTAGAAGATTGAAGTATAAAGAGCGTCTTAGATGTCACTAGTGATTCGAGACACGTGCGAAGTACGAAATGCGAATTGCCAACGCGTGTTGTCGAAGTTCCGCTGCGAGTCTCAGGAAATGCAATTTTTTTGACATGACGTCAGGAAATACATGACGATGACGCATCGATCAGACCACCGAGCACTTTATAGACAAAGTCTGCAGAGAAGAAATCGGAGTGGCTCTTGCGTAAAATCGTATAAAACGATTACGCGCGGCTACAATGAATCGCCAAGAGAGCATTGCTGAATGATCTTTGCTTGCCAAGCGAATTGACAGCACAATGACAGAAACGATAAAAATCTGCCTTATGTCGTCAACTATCGCGATACATAATCATACAGTTTTATTTTTGCGGATTCGGCCGCCATCGCGAGAGAAATCGTGCCGACGATTGCATCACTTCGGCAATTAGGATGTGGCGCGAAAATTTCACGATGCGACGATTCATCTTGCGTGCGCACCGTCAGGTAAACGGGGTAAACGATAGTCGGTATCCTCTTCCGTTTGCACAGCAGGATGATGACATAACCTCTCAGAATCGAGCTGTCCGCAACGGTGTCCCCAGCTGTGTCGCACATGAGTCACATCGTCCACGTGGATTTTCGTGCGACCGCGTTTAGAATTTGAGAAAAGGAACGCTAACGAGGAAAACATGACGACGGAGGACGCGCAGGTACAAGAGCGTGTGTTAAACGGTGTCACCGAAGACGAAGACGTCGTTACACCGTGGACGGTGACGAGCGTCAACGATTCCGGGATCGATTATGACAAGTTGATTAGTAAGTCGCGCCTCTTACTATGATACCAAATTTATGATACCAAATTATCCTTGCAGATTTATGAACAATTCATGCGAAGAATAGGTATTCGATTTTTTCATGATTTTTTAGGTTATGTTTGCAACAAAAAATGCACAGTAAGGTATATCTGTTTTTTTTTATCGTTGCAATGAATTGCATTAAAAATTTCATACAACATAGACCTTCAAAATTTATCCTAGACGTTCCTGAAGGACATAATGAATCTCGTTTTCAATGAGAAATTAATACATTAGGCTTATTTGTTTACCTAAACTTTCTTGCATGGTCTTTTATCTTTTTTTCTCTAACACAGAGAGAAAAGAAAGATAAACTGTGTAAAAAGTTCAGCTAAAAAGAATAGGTCTAATGTAACACAATGAATTATTATATTATTAAGTGCTTTTCCATTAAGAGACGCAGATGATACAGTATAACAAGTGAGTCATTCTTGTTTATTAATCTCGGACAATATACATGTTTAAAAGACGTCATAAAGTCATCTTTTAGAACATACATGTATAAAAGGTATCATAAAGATGTCTTCTAGACTTTGTGTGTTATCTGCGAATGTTAAACAAAGATAAAATAATTCATTATGTTATCTGTGCATCTTGCTAGAAAGCATTCTTAATTGTTTGCCAATGTTGAGATGAAATGATCACCGTATTACACTAAATTATTCTTGCTGGAAAGCACCAAAATGTGCTGTGTGGGTTTCTATCTCGTTTTTATCAAGCTTCAAATATGTATTTTATTTTAAGTACAAGAGTACAAATACAAAGAACAAAACTACATTTACAAATCATTTATACTCTTGAGCTTTGCAAACTAATACATTTTCTTTTTTTTTTTTACAGAAAGATTCGGAAGTTCTAGGATAGATGATGAACTATTAGCTAGATTTGAAAAGATCACTGGCAAGAAACCGCATCGCTTTCTCAGAAGAGGCATATTCTTCTCTCACAGAGATATGCACACTATTTTGAACCTTTACGAGCAAGGAAAGCTCTTTTATCTGTACACAGGCAGAGGACCGAGCTCTGATGCGATGCATTTGGGACATCTCATACCTTTCATGTTCTGTAAATGGTTACAAGAAGTTTTCAACGTACCATTAATCATACAGTTGACGGATGATGAGAAAGCTATATGGAAGAATCTAAATATAGAGGATGCTATTAAATTGGCCTATGCCAATGCAAGAGACATTATCGCCTGTGGCTTTAATCCCGAGAAAACTTTTATTTTTTCCAACTTGGAGCACATAGGAAACAATTCAACATTTTACCAGAACATGATCAGGATACAGAAATGCGTGACGTTTAATCAAGTGAAGGGCATTTTCGGTTTCGGCGATAGCGATCCAATCGCGAAGATCGCGTTCCCACCAACGCAGGCTGCACCGGCGATCTCTGGCTCGTTTCCTTTTATTTTCAAGGACACTAAAGTGCACTGTCTAATACCATGCGCGATCGATCAGGATCCGTACTTCCGCATGACGAGGGACGTGGCGCCCAGACTGGGTTTTCCCAAACCAGCGTTGTTGCATGCGACCTTTTTCCCGGCGTTACAGGGCTCGAAGACAAAAATGTCGGCGAGCGACAACAACACGGCAATATTCCTCACAGATACCGCTAAGCAGATAAAAAACAAGGTCAACAAGCACGCGTTCTCGGGTGGTCAAGCCACTTTGGAAGAGCACAGACAGCTCGGTGGCAATTGTGAAGTAGACATATCTTATCAGTGGCTGCGATTCTTCCTGGAAGATGACGAGCGGTTGGAACAAATTAGGAAAGTTAGTCTCGCGTTAATTGTTTTAATTCTTTCTCAACCTCTTGGGCAAAATCGCACGATAGAAATGTCGGCCGACTGTTGTGTCATTTATAGAAAACAATTAAAATTGTACCGTACTCCGTGCACAATCGTGTACATTGCCAAGGATTTTCTATAAACAACACTTGGCCGACACTTTATCTATCATGTACTTGGCCTAAAGCCAGGAGTATACGATAGACAAACTGTCGGCCAATTGTTGTCATCGAAAAGTCCTTGGCAATGTATGTGAATGCGACATGAATATAATACAACTTTAATCGTTTTCCATAAATGACACAGTCGATACTTTAGCTGATAGTCGATTCTTATTTCAAAATCGTCTTAAGTAATGTCTTAAAATAATATCGTAGCACCCCGTAATTGGTTTCGTAACAATAGTGTTGTAAACTTGAAGTCGTAAGATATTGGCCAATCGAATATGAAGTCTGGTCTTAAATATAAGAATCGATTATGAACACCTACGTCTATCGTTTACTTTTATGCTAATGTTCATTTCCACTAATGTAGACCTAACTTTAATTTCGGTTTAACTTTTTGTTCCTTTCCAATTCTTTTAAGAATTAGAAAAAGATGGAAGTTTAGTTAAACTGAGACTAAAAAGCTAAGTTACATTGATAGGCATTAAATTATAACGATGTACAAATAACGTTTATTTTTTCAGGGCTATACCAACGGGGAGATTTTGACAGGCGAGCTAAAGAAGGAGCTGATCGACGTTCTACAGCGACTCGTCGCCGCGCATCAAGAAGCGAAAAGTAGAGTAACGGATGAAGTGATTAAACAATACATGATTCCTAGAGACCTTGGTTTCGAAAACAAAGTAACTGTTTAATAAGCACCGATTTATGTGAATCGCTTCCTAGATTCTTCTACCTGCGTTGGAGATCGATTTAAATCTATTTATTGCACGCAAGACACGCAACTATAGAATATTCGAGAAGGTTCCATGATCTTTTTCAAGCACCGCCTTTTGTTGAAAAATTAAATTAATTTTTCTATCAATCTGTCTCGCTTATTAACAGAAATCTCGTAATCCTGTTGAAAAATCTAAAAATTTTCAACTTTTCCCAATTATCGAATAAATGTAAACCTTTCCCCCGCCTTTCACAGCTGCATGGCGGACTGCAGCATAAAAATAAAAATACCTTTTATTTCAATTAAACTTCGATTGATCATAAACTTGTACTAATCAATGATTAGTATTCGTGTCTAGCAGTATAGAGTAATTTTAATCTCAATTTAATTTATTTTTATCTTGTTCTAGTTCTAAGAATTATCTGTCTATTGGAGAGAGACCCACTCAATTATTTATGTTACAATCTACAAATTTGGATCATCGTTATTAAAATAAACTTAATATTCATATACAGACATTCTTTTTTATACGAATTACATCATTTTTCTCGAAATTAAATAGTGCCTTTAGTCACGAATTAACATAAATTAAATGGATTTCAGATTCAACGTCAATAACTGTTATAAATTTTTACCTCCGATGGTTTGATTTACTTTTCGTTTTATTTTAATTCTTAGAACTGAAAAAAGATTTAAAAAAAAAATTAAAAAATCACGATAAAATTAATATATATAGGTAAAAAGTAAAAATGGAACAAAAAGAAAGGAGCATCTCTTAGCGCATGCGTCGCGCGGGGGAAACTTCTGAACCGCGTGGATTCGAACGGCTGCCGTTTACGTTCCACTTTCTCACAATTATTCGAAACTGGGTCGAGCGATGCCGATAGAGGTGATACACACACACTGTGCCTCGCGTGTGCATCCTCGGTCGCGCGGGAACGGGCCGAGCCTCGAGGCCCGAAGTTGCGCGCGCTAGAGGATCAATGAGAGCCGATCGCCACAATCGGGCGGCGCGCTTACAGTGCTTATAGATAGAATACAAGAGGCAGCCGCGCTCAAACGCGGATTAATGGAGCGCACTTGAGCGTAATAACGCGTAATCCAATGACCCGTTGACGTTCTCGCCGTAGCGGAATTCCCATCGGCTATTAAACCGATCAATAAACCGATCTTGATATACAAATATAAGTACGCCGGGATAGACGCTTCTCATTCGCGCCGGCGATCCGCCGAATTGATCACGCCGGGGCCGGGCCTGGGGCTGCCTGGGGCCCAGGGGTCATGTCGGTCGCGTGACGCCGACAGCCAATTAACGTCGCAAGTAATTATCGGTGACTGCGCGAGATCTATCGGCCGCGAAATCGTGCGTGTAACGCTGTTTTCGCGCGACACGTCGTCGAGCTAATTCTCTAGTGTCGCTCGCGCGCGTGAGAGAGAGAGAGAGAGAGAGAGAGAGAGAGAGATAAACAAAGAAAAGAGAGAAAGAGGGAACGAGAGCAAGTTAATTTTACCTCGCGCGCGATGATCCTATAAAACGAGATATTGGCTGAGCGCGAACGGAAATGGCGCGGTGCCGATTGGCGGACGATGACGACAATACGCAAGCCGCTATTAATAAACCGGCGCATGCGCGCCACGCCGGCCGCCGTGTGTATCCGCCATTCATGCGAGTCGATTTCGTTGTTTCTGTGTGTGCAGGCACGAGCCAGGCCTGAGGCCAGCCAGCTAGGCACAGCCAGCAAGAGCGAGACGAACGGTACGTGGTGTGACGGTGAATAAAGAATAATATTCGCGTGCTACCTCGAGGAGGATACGATGCGAGCGTATTAACTGTACGAATATACACAGCGACGTACCACGCAGTGGCAACGGCGACGGCGGTGTGGTGGCGGCAGCGGCGACAGCAACGGCAGTTTGTTGGAGCACGCTACCCGTTTAGTACCTGAAATGATGACTATCCTCGGTCACGGTCCGCCGACGTAAGTTCTACGTTTGTACGCTCGGCAAAGGCGCGAGCGGGAACCGTGCGTGCTTGCTTGCGTGCGTGCATGCGTGTGAGCGAGCGAGCGAGCGAGCGAGTAAACTATTTTAGTCGCGAAAATTCGCCGCTGCCAAATAAGAGCTTCCTCGCGCGCGCGTCACCCTCGTCGTTATCGTCCGTCGCCGCCGTCGGGGT